TTGTGTTCCTCTTTTTTTTATGTCCACTAGCAACTGTTTATTATTCATCTGTTCTGTACACATTTTACTTTATTTTGGTTTTCACAGTAAATCTTCGTTTTTCCATTCGAAGGCCTTATATGTAGCCTTACGATCGTATCATGGTTAGGGGCCTCCAAGAAATGCCCAGTCACAACTAAATGAAATTTAAAATGTATTTTTCACTAAGTACCTAAAAAACCAAACAAAAATTTAATGCGTCTGTGCCAAATGTGAAGATTGCGGAATGAATTTGTTTATATATGTATGTATGACAAACGTACGAAAGTCAAGCAGTTTCTTTGGTATTTTATCTTAAATAAATGTGAACTATGAAATTATGGCAAAATAAACGAACGAAATTGTGCATTTGCTTGTGCTTCTGATTCTGTTGCTAACTCTAGCTTCTCTCGTTGCTGAATCTTAGACGCACTGCATCCTATTCTCACCGGAACCCGCATGAGTCACCCCCTTAAAAAAACTGTCATTGCACTAAGAACATCCTTACCCATTTCCGTTTCCGCTCTTCCTATCCCGCAGGCAACTTCCGGAAAGTAAAGGTCGTGCGCTCTGAGCCTCCGGAGAAGCTCAAGGAGCAGTTCAATGGATTCTTGACCCCGACTGAATTCGAGCACCACAACTTTACGGCCATGGAGAGGTGAGAGCTTTTCCCAAAATGTGCAAATATATTTCAATGGGTCACATTGTTCATCTGCGTTTCATAGTTGCAAAAAAAAAGCGGTGGAGGAACACACCTAAATTAAATTATTTTGCCTTTTCAGCTACCTGAGGGCGATGACCACTAGCTTTCCCTCCCTTACACGCCTCTACAGCATTGGCAAAAGTGTCCAGGATCGGGATCTTTGGGTGCTTGAGATCTTTGCCACCCCGGGCTCCCATGTTCCTGGAGTTCCGGAGTTCAAATATGTGGCCAACATGCATGGCAACGAGGTAGTGGGCAAGGAATTGCTGCTACTCCTCACCAAATATATACTGGAACGCTATGGCAATGATGACAGGATTACCAAGCTGGTGAATGGCACCCGCATGCATTTTTTGTACAGCATGAACCCCGATGGGTACGAGATCTCCATCGAGGGCGACCGAACCGGCGGAGTTGGAAGAGCAAATGCCCATGGAGTTGATTTGAACAGAAACTTCCCCGATCAGTATGGCACGGATAGGTACAATAAGGTGACCGAACCCGAGGTGGCTGCCGTCATGAACTGGACACTGTCGCTGCCGTTTGTTTTGTCCGCCAATCTGCATGGGGGCTCCTTGGTTGCCAACTACCCCTTCGACGATAACGAAAATGATTTCAACGATCCGTTTATGAGACTGCGGAATTCTAGTATCAATGGTCGCAAGCCAAATCCCACTGAGGATAATGCTCTGTTCAAACACCTTGCCGCGATTTATTCAAATGCACATCCCACTATGCACTTGGGCAAGCCCTGTGAGCTCTTCCGGAATGAATTCTTCGCTGATGGCATCACCAATGGCGCTCAGTGGTATAGTGTTACTGGCGGAATGCAGGACTGGAACTATGTGCGGGCAGGATGCCTGGAGCTAACCATCGAAATGGCTTGCGATAAGTTTCCCATGGCCGCCGAGCTTCCGAAATACTGGCAGGATCATCGGGAGCCTCTGCTACAGTTTATTGAGCAAGTGCATCGTGGCATTCATGGATATGTGCATAGCACCATTGGCACGCCGATTGCGGGAGCTGTTGTTCGGTTGGACGGAGCCAATCATTCGACCTACAGTCAAGTATTCGGTGACTATTGGAAGTTAGCGCTGCCTGGTCGCCACAATCTCACTGTGTTGGGGGACAACTATGCTCCACTACGAATGGAAGTTGAAGTGCCCGAGGCCGAACCCTTCGAAATGCGGATGGATATCACCCTCATGCCAGACGATCCGCAGCATTGGGCCTCCGCCAATGACTTTAGGATTATTGAAAACGTGGTCAACACAAGGTATCACACTAACCCGCAAGTTCGTGCACGCCTGGCGGAGCTGGAGAACCAAAACGGACAGATTGCCAGCTTTGGATATGCAGATTCTGAATTTGGCGCACTCTTCAATTACCTCAAAATGACTTCTGATGTGAGTGTGTGATTATGACGCGAATTTGTATCTCTAGCTTCCCACTCACTTGATTCTCTTGCAGATTGGCGAGCCCGAGGAGCACAAGTACAAGCTGTTGGTGGTCAGTTCCCTTTACGATACAACGGCTCCTCTGGGAAGGGAAATTTTGCTCAACCTGATACGTCACTTGGTCGAGGGATTTAAGCTGCAGGATGCGTCTGTAGTAGATCTGCTCAAACGAAGTGTTATCTACTTCCTTCCGCAGACAAGCAAGTTCCAAACTGTCTTTGACATGTACAATAGCAAGTGAGTTTTGGTGGCCTCAAAACCTTAGTGCTTAGAATCTTATTTGTTCTCTGCCAATCCACAACAGCACCTCCATTTGCGATCCAGTCCTTGGGGATGAGTTAGCTGAACGCATTCTAGGCCCGGAGACAGACCAAGCCAAGGACGTATTCCTGCAATTTTTGCGCAGCGAACGCTTTGATTTGATGCTAACCTTCGGGGCCGGTAACTCCGAGTTGAACTATCCTAAAGGGGATTCGGTGCTGGAGAAGTTTGCCCATAGAATGCAGCGAACGGAGTTCAACTACTCGCCCCTGCAGTGCCCCCCATCCGCCACGAGACAGCTCCACCGGGAGACCACCGAGAGATTGACCAATATGATGTACCGCATATACAACTTGCCTGTTTACACATTGGGCATTTCCTGCTGCCGGATGCCGCACCAAAAGAAAATCGCTTCCGTTTGGCGCAAGAACATCGATAAGATAAAGAACTTTTTTGCTCTGGTGAAAACCGGAGTAAGTGGCTTGGTGCAGAACGATAAGGGACAACCACTGAGGGAGGCCTATGTGCGATTGTTGGAGCACGATAGAATCATTAATGTTACGAAGAATGTGGCGCGATTCCAGCTGATGCTGCCCCATGGTCTTTATGGCTTGGAGGTAACCGCTCCCAACTACGAGTCGCAAATGATTAAGGTGAACATAGAAGAAGGTCGAACCACGAAATTGGGCATTATACGCCTGCATCCATTCACGTTGCTTCGTGGCGTTGTTCTGGAGCTGCCAAATAATGATAACAGAGCCACCACTAGCATTGCAGGAGTGGTGCTAGATGAGAACAACCACCCAGTGCGGAACGCCAAGGTTTCGGTGGTGGGGCAGACGCAATTGAGGAACTTTACTGGCAGTATGGGACAGTATCGTATATCGGCGGTACCTTTAGGCACCATCAGTCTGAAAGTAGAGGCACCGCGACATATGGAGGCCACCCGACAATTGCACCTTATTCAGGGCGGCTTGGCCACGGAGAACGTGGTCTTTCACCTAAAGGTTAACGACCATGTCTTTGGACTGCCTCGCTTTTTGTTCATTCTGTGCGCCAGTGTCCTGATCATTGTTAGTGTGATTGTCTGTGTGCTGTGTGCCCAGTTTTGGTTCTATCGACGCCATCGGGGGGACAAGCCCTACTATAACTTCTCACTGCTGCCGCAGAGGGGTAAGGAGCAGTTTGGCCTCGAGGAGGATGAAGCGGGTGATGATGGGGAAACAGAGCTCTTTCGATCTCCCATCAAACGTGAGTTGAGCCAAAGGGCACATTTGATAACCAATCGAACTAATTATTTTCTTTATTGTTCAGGCGGCATGACCATACAGCCGTACTTTGACGAGGAACAGCTGGAGCGCATCCTGCACACGGATGACGATGACGACGATGGGCCGCACATGGAGCCAGAACTTGATGTGGCTGACGATAGTGAAGACGATATAGTGATGTTGCACAACAACGGGAACAAAAGACGGCACTAGATGCCAGATGTCCTGATGGGATGATCCCCAATTAATCACAATCTCAATTGGCACAACCTCCAGGGATCACCTAATCCCCGATCCACATTAACCACACACAACATAACTGTGATTCAAAACGTTTTCAAGAGAAACCAACGCTCTACCTTTTTTATTTTTGTGTAATATTTACCCTTAAAATAGAAACACTTATTTTGAGTTTGCGTGTTACTGAGCTTGCACCCAGAATGCATCACAGCCGTCAGCTTTAAATAGAAAATCCTTCTACCCACTCGGCGAATCTCTCTTTCATGACCGTTTATATAGAGATATACATTTGTATGTCCAGCCAAGGAGAACTGTATGCGTAAATGTAACTTAAACTAAAGACTGAGAGCCTCGTAACTCTATCAAAAATGAAATAACAAATTGTGAAAAAATACTAAATCTAATCTAGCTAAATAGAAGCCGAACATCACAGCCAACAGCAACAGAACGGTTTGATGACTTAGACTTAGACAGACTTAATGAAAAAAATAACTACCAATGAGTCAAATACAGTGTCAATATTCAATTATACTAATTTACTAAGCAATGTCATCCGAACGTTAAACTACTTAGCAGCTCATTATACAAAAAATGAATTCTTAAATATTCATATTTAGCTTACTATTTTACAACTTATGTAATGGCTAATCCCATAAACTCTAACCCTCTGTTGCTAAAATTTGGCTTCCAAAAGAATGGATTTTAACGCTAGAAAAAAATGTGCAAGAGAGAATCACAAGAAAAACAGTTAACAGCTTTTGTAATATTTTGAATATGCGCAAAATGGAAAATTCAACCGTAAAATCAAATCAATTTATATAAAAAATGAATTCATATAAAAATGTTTTGCACGATTCTATCTAAATAGAGCACAAGAAGACAAAGCGGTAGAAAATAACATGAAAGTAAAATTATATATATATATATCATATACATATATATATCGTATACATATCCTAATATATGGCAATTTATACTAAGTAAGCAACTGAATCTAAATAAAACAATTATGTTACACAAATCGGGAGAAGCCAACAATGAAGCTGTAATCTAATCCGTCGCAAGCTTCCTGATCAGATGAAAAAAACGGTATGGAAACAGTCCCCATCGATATGTAATACTAGTATTTGGATTTATGTTAATTTGCCTTTGTATTCCTTTTTGCTCCAATAGCATTTTAGATGTGTAACACCTTGGGAACGTTAACTGATAAGGAACTGCGTAAGGCCTAATATAAAGAACTCTGAGTTACAGAAGATGAATTGTATGACCCAGTTGGGCTATTGCCTTCGCCACTGTTGTCGTCCGAGCCAGGATCAAGGTCATTTGGCGATAGCCGCCTTATCGCCCATCCAGTGGCTCTCACTTTGCTCATACAGCAATTACAGCAACAGTAACTACAATGTCCGCCGATCCCAGCTGAACTGCCGCTCAAGCTTTATCAGGGGGTCCAGAACCGAATAGATAGTTGTCATTTGCGCTTTTTGTCGTTGTGTCGCCGCCGTTGTTGTCTCTTCCATTCTGGCATCGCAGTCGTGGATTTTATAGCATTGCGAGCAGATCCAATCTAAGAGATCCTAGATCGCATGCGAAATGTGGTGGAGCCGTAAATTTGCCTCAAGGTCTCTCCGCCTGCACCGGCTCAAGAGCACCGGAAGCACAGCTCCCAGGGAACCGGCGCAATCTCTAGGCATCATTGGAGTGCCCTTCGCAAAGGGGCAGGGAAAACAGGGCGTGGAACTGGCGCCAGATCTTCTCCGGCAGAGCAGCCTGCGTCAGGTGCTTCAGAGCAGTCATGGTGAGTCAGCTACCTTCCTTCAAAGGGATTCGGCTCCAGAAGAAGCGATTGCTGGCTTCGAAAAGCCCCATTTTTCTACAAGTTGCATAGTATTGATTCGAATAATAAGGAAATCATAGAAGCTCTTACTGCACATGCAAGCAACAGGTCAATCGCAGGACATTTCCTTCGTAATTAAAACAACCATTTCGTTTCGGGACTTATATATGTGTTTATTGACCAGATGGCCTGGTGATACGGGACTACGGAAACCTACAGTACGCCGTAGACGAGCCCCTTCTCCAACAGCAGCGTGTGCACTACCACCACATCCGAAACTACGCGGATTTCATGGCTTGCAATCGGGCACTGATTGAACAGGTGAAACTCATGCTCGTGGAGAACACGCAGTTTTTGGCCATTGGTGGTGATCATGCGATCGGCTTCGGTGAGTGACCAACCTCGATCCCACGTCCAATGATAGAATCCACAATGGAATCGCCTTGCAGGATCCGTGGCCGGACACCTGCAACACACGCCGAACTTGTCCCTGGTGTGGATCGACGCACATGCGGACATCAATCTGCATAGCACCTCGCAGTCGGGCAACATCCATGGGATGCCCGTATCCTTTCTGTTGGAACAGCTCCGTAACACCTGGCAGCACGCTGGCCTCCAGGAAATCGCGCCCAACTGGTAAGTGTACGAATAATGCGCTTTTTACACTGCATTTCAAATGACTCAGTCCGTTCTTCTCAAAATAATGTCTTCGAGTCAACGGTGACAGGGCAAAAATGATTAGTCAATGCTTCAGATCAAAGTGGGTTTGAGCACTATTTGCGTTAATACGAAAACACCAATACACAACGCAGCGCAAAAAGTACATTATTCAGAGATCGTCTTACGGCTAGACAAGTCGCACTTAAGTCTCTCGGAGTGTCATTTATTCCATTGTATTGTACTTAATATATATTTTTTTTTTTTGGGTGGTGGTTTGCTGAAGGGGGGTTCTTGGCGGGGGGTTTGTTCGCCTTATCACAGTTGCCTTAACGTACTATGACTTATTTCTTTTTATTGACTCTGCTTTGCCTCCTGTTTTTCGATTTTTCGATTTTTCTCTGTTTTCATTTTTGTTTTTTGTGCTTGCCTCAGTCTTTGCGTGTAGTTGCTATCAACCTTTAATTTGCTTATTTTTAGATTATTTAATTTACACATTGCTTTTGCCTTGGGCAGTTTCCGTTTTTCTTTCGATTTTTGGAAAGTCAGTCGAAAAGGTATTCAAAATGTTAACCGAAGAAGGATTAAATCAGAGATCACAATGTAAATAAGGAAGCTGCGGGAAATCCCGGAAATCAAACAAAGATTTCAGCTCTACGTTTTCACGATAAAACATCGTATCTATATGGCGCTCTATAACTAGACATTATATATAGATAGGACCACTGGGTGGGGGGTTGGCGTGGTCGAGGCTTTTGCTCCTCGGCTTATTGGCATTGGGATAAAACTTAAATTCTTCTCGACTCGAACTCAAAATTTACAACAAAGGTTTATACTAGGAATATTCCTATATGTATATATGACAAATCACAAATAATCACATTGTACGGACGAATGACTGGCACAAGATGAAAACCGAAATAAGAATGAAAATCGAAATCAGATTTATTTACATCAGTCGGAGATTCCTAATTAACTCAAGAAATATATTAATTTGCTTACTCAATTGAGTATAACTCCAAATAATATTTCTTACACAGAATAAATACTTTAACGCTTCTACGATTGTATTTGAAAAATATGAAGTCTTTTAAATAATACCAATATATTTGATGTTTAATGTTTCAAAAGATAAAAGGCATCTGGATCTATGTAAAAACAAATGTTGACTCAACGTTAGCAAGGGTATAAAAGTTCGCTGTTAATTTATCTGACTACCCTAAATACTGATAAGTAGTGATTGTGAAGACGGTGGATTGTGCTTTGCTGGTTAAAAATGAAATATACTATAGATACTAGAAAAAGCCTTTAAGTTCCAATTCCTTGAAATTCAAAATAATCTGTTGCTCGCTTAGATTTTCTTATTGAAAATACAATCCGAAACGTAAGTGATTCCTTGTTTATGTACGTGTACGAGGGAGTACAAATCATGTATGTATGTGCATCGATTGGGATAGTTCCGGGATTTGGAATAAGGGACTGGGATCAGTGGACATCTGTGGTATATGCTTTAAATAAGTACAGTTAATATTAAGTGTTAATCAATCAATATATATACACAATCATTATCGCTTTAACCAAGTAATCAATTAATTCAATTGAAATTCAACTTGAGGAAATGTGTTTGAAAATGTTTTTTGGTTGTTTCTTTTTTCATAAATTCAATTCAAAATCGAACGAACAACAATAACACACACCTGGAAATAAATCAAGAGAAAGAAATAAATTAGAAAATTCTTTATAAATGATTATACTTTTTGCTGCAGGATATGCATGTGTTAGCTTTACAGTTTTTATTTTGCTACAAACAGATCAATAAAACGAGAAAGAAACCATTTAGAGAAATCATCAGTTTTGCTGCCAAATGTTTATTAGGAAAAAATGTGTGCCAAAATTAGTAGAGATCGGCGTTAGGCTTATTCCGATCTTCGATGCGCTATCTTTATCTTCTCCGATTACTTACCGAAAATCACACGAAACAAAAATAGTAAGTGAGGATACGTACAATACAATGTATAACAACGGCAACAACAAACTTAAAACTTAAAACCGGAACTCCGGAAACCAAAATCGGCTACATATCGATCGGTAATATATATGTATACCTATATACACATCAATATATAAATATATTTATAAATACATGTGTATAGCTGCATACATATGCACAACGGAAGGAACGGAAGGGGAACAACTTAAGTGCCAAAATCGGAGCAGTTTGACTTCCTTATAACGTAATGCCATATCATCATCACATAGTTTTATCTTCCTTCTCAGCTGGCTTAATACACTAGGAGCAAAAAAGCGTACGTGAAAATACTCTGCGCGAAATCATAAGAGCAACAAAGGGCATACTCTTTTCGAGAGAGAACACACAACAAACTTAGGCATATTTGGAAATTGAGTGTGTAATGTGGGTGTGTGTTAGTATGACATACACTGTACAAAATATATTTGGTAGAAAGGAACCATAAATCGAACAGAAAGCTGTCTGCGATGAAAAATGTTATTATATTAATATAAACAATTTGAAGAACGCAAAGAACACCCAACCTATATTGTACCAAAGACGATATCAAAAGTGTAACTCAATAATAACTTTGAAAGAATATCCAAAATAGTCTGAACTGAAACTTAAATAAATCAGTAGTCGAACTTAATCTTGAAACAAAAGTTTGGTGTGTCTGATATGTACTATATAGAGAGAAATACATATATATGCAAAAAGCAAGAAAAACTCATAATCGTATATTTTTAAATACATTTATAATATTAATATCTTTTTCGCATTTGCTTGTATTCGTTTTTTTAGTGTTTTCCATTTTGAAATATCATTTGAAATGTGATAAATATTATTAATTAATTAATCGATATAAATATGTTAATAAAATAAATTAAATAGTTTCCTCTTTCTCGCCGTCGACGTCGTCATTATTTTAATCATAATAATATATAGAAAGGTATATTTATATATTTGTTAATGATTGGTAAAGGTATCCTTTGTGTTTCGTTAATGCTATCGCTAAGCATCTCCAGTTCTCTGCCCATCGAAATGATAGATAAACTGTGCTCTAAGAATTACAAAAATTACACAGAATTAAGCAATACAGAGATGCGGGACAAAATCATACACAGAAATTGTTGCAATATTTCGAATATCCCCAACCCACAAATATATAAATTAAGGGAGAGGTGACCGTACTTTCTCCGCTAAACTAAACTATGAGATTCATTTATCATAAGCGCTAAACATAATGGCATTACACAAATTAAAAGTATTCTTCTTTGCACGTAAATAATATCGCAACTGGCAGAGTCTACACCAAGCAACAAAAACTGGAATGCATGTCTTTGGGCTCTTTTTACACGGGGGATACCCCTTTAGATCGTGGAGTTACGAGGACTACGCCGAACACGACACGACTGACTGACTGACTACTGACTGGGAATGTCTGGGATGTCTTTTCTGTTAAGCTGAGATCAACGGATTCCGATGGCACCTCTTTATAGATGGGCCTTGACTAGATCGATTCCTTCATCTTCATGTGACTGTCAGAGGATTTAAGGTCTTTCAAATAGACAGAGAGAGAAATATATATAAATAGAGAGAGAGAGAAAGAGAGAGACAGAGAGGGGGAACAAAATATAGGATTTGGAAAATAAGTTGTTGTTAATCGTGGGTCGTACAGTTTAAAAAACAAACAAAACCAAAAAATAACAAATAAAAATGATGCTAAAATTTTCATCAAGATTTCTTTTTATTGAAAGAAAATTTTTCTTGGTTTTTCTTTTACTTGTTTGGTGCGGAAATCAAATAAAATCATAAGAGTAAACATGTTCGTTGCAAAATTAGACAAAAAAGCAAAATACACAAACCAAAAAAAAAATAAATAAATAAATAATAATCAAAATATAAATATTCATTCGATAGGATTCACAGGAGTTTGCAATAACGTAACGTACGCACAGAATGTATATAGCTAGAATATCAACTAAATAGCTCTGTTGTGTTGTTGTTGCTGTGACAATTCCAGTAGGTTTAGCATAAAATCATAAATTTAAACTAAAGTTGAAACATAAATGGGTTTTTGGTAAAACGAAATCGAAATGAAAAACGAAATGAAAGACAACGTATAAAATTAAATTTAAGCCGCACATTAGAGTAAGTGAGACATATTAAGAAAAGGGGAGAATGGGAGGAGAGAGAGTTTCGAAGTTATAGAATTTATATAGATTTGTATAGATCGTTCTATCTATCTCGCTCTCTCTCTCTCTCTCTCTCTCTCTCTCTCTATCTATCTTGTTGTCTCTCTGTTCTTGTGTTGTGTGTATAATTAGACTAATTCTTTATCATATCATTATCTTCTTGTTCCTTGTAGCTTTGTTTAAATCAAGGGAATATTGAATTCAAATTGAATTAAATAAAATTACGTAATTATAAAATACAATAAATAATCTTTTTTGTTTCGTTTTCGTTTGTTTTCTTGGCTCTTTGCTTACTTAATAGGTAAATTGGTAAAGAAAAATTATGAGATATTAATATGTATATGCAGGTGATACATATACAATTTCGCTTAAAAAATAATTTTTGTATAAATTTTCGTAAATTTTGTTGTTGTTGCTGGGCTTGCCTTTCTTTCTTTTGCTTGCGGTGTATAGAATAATCATACAATTATGTTACATAAGATCAAATATTTCATTTCTCGTTTTCCTCACCTAATGAAATTATAATTTGAGATACTTGAAAATTTGTTGCTGTGTTTTGCCTTTAGTTGCATTTTAAAACTATTGCACAATAATTATAATTAATACAATTAATTTGATCATCAATGACAAACAAATATGTATACATATATATGTATGCAAATAAGGATTGGTTAATTAAATTAAATTAAGAATTGTGTCTGTTGCGTGTAAAAATATGTGATGACAGAAATACGAACTAAACAAAATCAAGTACTATCGCTTCCACAAGATTTTATTCTGTTCTCATTTTCTCCTGTCCCACAGTGTGTTCTTAAGTGGGTATATATAAATAAACTAGTTGATTGTGTATAATGTATTGCATTTTCATCTGGAAATCTCCTTTTGCCTTGCTTCTTTTTTCTTAGAGGTTTCAAGTGGGTAAATCTTTGGAAAGGGAAGAGCAGGCGGCTTCTATCATTCAATTATTTTATTAGCTAGAAATTGCCATAGTTCTTTTGGTTTTGATCTACTTTTCCTCCCTATATGCGGCTGCCTCATCATAATAATATTCTTGTTTTCCATCTTCTGACTAGAGTTCTTGTTGCGAATTTTGTTCAAACAAAAAATATTTTTTACCCTATAATTATAAAAAAAATAGATATATATAAATATATATGGTAATATACATACTTCCGATTACACATAGCGTTAGGTGACGTAAGAATAATCAAAGTAAAATAAATTCCTATTTCGCTTTTTGGATTCCGTTCAATTCTGTTCAATGTTTGTTGAAACTTAGGTCAAGAATTTATGCTATTTGGAGAGTGAACTCAAAACGGTTGGGAGTTTCCTAAGGTAAACTTTATAAGGAAATTAAACACAAATCATTTGTATAAATATGCATGGTTTGGGTCTGACTGGTTTTATGGGCTGGATGCAAAAGCTTATTGTTAAATTCAATTCGTGTACAAAGCAAACAATGAAATCAAACAAAACCAAATTCAAATTCAAAAACGGAATATAGAGTCCAGAATCGAAATTATATATGCTGATGTTTGTGTGTGTGGTGTGTCTTACTCTCTCGCTTCAACTATCCATAGAAGCAAAGAAATATACAGAATATATCAACTGATAAAGTAACGCAAAAGATCCACAAAAGATGTAGGTTTGGACACGGGTTTTTTGGGGTTTTATATAAGCAGGATGCGGATTAATCCTTGTCCATACGGAGCCATTTTCTCTGTCCTTTAGCACCTTACTTAGCTAGAAAAACCTCTTTGCTATACTTTTGCTTGCATCCTTCGAGAACATTTGCCTCCTCACTGGTTTTCCTTTTACTTTGTTGTTATATAAAAAATGGTTGCTGCTGCTCTACTTTTTGGTTTTTAGTAATTTTTTGTGCTACGCTTGGTTTTTAATGCTAAAATTGTTTCGGTTTAGCAAGTGTTTGGTTTTTCTTTTTGTTTATGCTTACTTGCTCCTTGAACTATACATTATATAAAGTATATAAGGTGTGCCTACGCCAGCATGCGTCGTACATAGCGGACTATATATCTGCAGGCACCTGTGCACACACTCGCACACGCGCACATTTACAGTATCAATATTCACTAACAATTATTTACTTTAGTAAAACATTTTAAATTTGCGCATAAATTATTGTATTACTTTTGTTTTCACGTCGCTGGCCTTCTGTCAATCATTCTTCGTGATTTCTATATTCTTTTTTTCAGTTCTCACTGAGTTTAGTTGTGCTTAATGGACATAAGTTTGGCTTGATTCAATCGGAATTCGTTTTCTTAGTGTAGAAAACAAATACAAAACATAAAAAACACTTTAAATTTCTATATTTAGTTGTATATCTAGGCAGACATAGAATTATCGCATATACATATGGATAAACATATATTTTTAGAATTATTAAACGTGCTCGTTTATTAAGTATGTAGTTTTTATGTTTATGTTTCTTGTAATACTGTAGCAGCCTCCATGTTATACATATATGTATGTATATCTACTATATGCGCGATCTTCCTAATTGCCCCTCAAATACTATTTATCCTGCGCTTTTCGATCAAGCCAAACTGGTGTCCTATAAGCACCGTATATGTATAAAGTGTAGACACTGAATTCCTCTATTTTCTTAATTCTGTTTTGGGTTTTAGTATCAAGATTCAAAGTTTTTATGGTAGAAAAAGTTGAAGTGTAACAAACAGATTTGTTGTTTTGCTTTCTTTTGTTTGGAAGATTTCATTGCTGCGTTTTACTTAGAGTTAATAAATTTTTAAAATTTCTCATTTTCTTTTTTACTAATAAAGTTAAATTTGTTTTCGTTTTTGTTTGTGTGTTTGGTTGATTTCTTTGTTTTGCTTTGTGACTAGCTTGACCGTGCCAACCTTTGACCTTTCTTTCACAGTGGCAGTGCCACTGCCACAGCGTGTTTTCATATTGCAATATTTCCTTAAAATCTCATTGTTCATTCTCAACCCCCTGCCTTTTTGCTTCTCCCGATCTCTTTAACTTATTTTGCTTGCTTCGTTTAGTTAATGTTGTTTACTTAAATGCTAAACAAGAAGAATTTTTCTATTGCAACGCTTTTGGCCGGCGGTTTTGGGGAGGATTGTGGGGGGAGATTTGTGTTTTTTAGGGGGATTTCCGCCGTTTCGTTGTCGTTTAGTGGAAAGAGTATTTCTCCTGCCTGCTACTTTCTTGTTTTTTTTTACTTGTGTGTTGTACACATACTGTTTTGTTGCGCTTAGTTACCGTTATACCATGCATATTTATATATGTGTGTTGTGTGGTCAGGTTGTTTAGAATCAAGATAATGGTTGGGGTTGGGTGTGCTCCCTCTGCGTCCATTTCCACATCCATTTGGGTCGCTCTACTTGGCTTTGTTGGTCTTGAAGCTGACCTGCAGCACCCGATTGCCCATGGTGTAGCCGTTGAGCGCCCGAATGGCCATGGCCGCCTCGTCGTAGTTGGTCATCGAGACGAAGCCGTAGCCCTTGCACTGATTCGTTGTGGGATCCTTGACAATCTTCACCGATTGCACAGCTCCGAATGGACCAAAAAGCTGCCACAGGGCAGCCTCCTCCGTTTCCGGCGCCAGGTTGTATATGAAAATGGGATACGCTCCGCCAGGCCCACTGGCCAGCGTTGTGGCCGCCGCCGCCGCCGCTCCCAGTCCATTGGGCAGCATTACGTCCAGCATGTCGCCAGCCATTGGTGAAAAGCGGGCCAGACCCTTGTTAACTGGCGTGTGCATGGCGCCCCCGATGCGGCGCACCAGTTGGGGATTGAGGAAAGCGGGCAGCTGCGGCTGGATGATCTTACTGGTGCTGCCTGGCGTATTGGAGAACTTTACCACTATGGGGTCTGTGCAGCTGGATGGTGTGGTGCCGTTCAGGGCAATGATGGCCCTTGTGGCCTCCTCCCGCTTATCGAATCGAATAAAGCCAACGCCCTTGGTCTGCGTATCGTTGCCAGCGTTCTGCAGAATGCGCGACGTGATTATGGCTCCGAATGGTGCGAAGATGGCCTCCAGTTCCTGCTGGGTCATCGTCTTCGGCAGCCCCGACACATAAAGGTTGGCGCCTTTAATGGCATCGGACGACGGGCGGGCAAACGACACCTTGATGGTCTTATTCTGTAGTCGCAGGCCGTTAAGAACATTAACAGCCTGCTCGGCATCCTGCGGCCGGACATAGTTAACAAAGCCGTAGCCCAGACTTTGTCCCTTGCTGGGCGCCTGCGGATTGAGTGGATCGATGTAGACCTGCGACTTGTCGCGTATCAGCTTTACCGACTCAATCTCGCCGACGCTGGAGAAGAGCGAACGGATCTCGTCTTCGGTCATCGTTTGCGGCAAGTAGTTGACAATGAGATTTGTGCGCGTCTCCGAGCTGCCGTTGCTGCCATTTTGCGATCCCGATCCTGCATTGCCATTGGTATTGGGCTGTGTCTGCTGCTGCTGGGGCACCACAGCTTGTTGGACCGCCGCCTGTTGCACCACCGCCGCCGCTTGCTGTTGTTGCTGCTGCACTACAGCCTGTTGGGCCACGACGGCCTGCTGCTGCTGTTGGAGCTGCTGGCTCACGGCCGCAGCGGCCGCGGCCACCGCTTGCTGTGTCTGCTGCTGCTGCACCTGCAGTATTGCCTGCTGCACCTGTTGCTGCTGCAGCTGGGCGGCGGCAGCCACGGCGGCTGCGTTCTGTACGGGCGAGGCGGCCGCGTTTGTTGCCGCCACTGCTGCGGCTGCCGCTGCACTCTGCATTAGCTGTGCCTGTGTGTCCACTCCGCCGCCAGCTCCGGTGTTTGCCATAATAAAGTCCACTGAGTGATAGGTAATAGGATCGGGCAGAGTCGAGAAGTTTATGTTGGTTGACGCGACCAACGCAGGGGGAGGCGCATGGAAAGAATAGTTAAATGTCAAGATTAAAACATTTGCAAGATGTGTTAGTAATTTTTTTTGCAATGGGTTTTAGTGGCAATTATGGGCTAGTGGGTACTCAATCAGTTGGTTTTTTTGTTAACGATGTTGATGTGATATGTGTATTTTCTAGCTATTTCGTAAACAGACAAGGAAAATAGTTCCTCAAATGTTTGTGGGGGCGTGATGGGGCTACAAAAAGGTTCCAGACGTAAGGATTCGCGAAAATGCGACCCGCAACTTGGCCACATATAGGATATTACAGCATGATTACGCTGTAAGCATTGTGTGCGTTTACTTTCGAGCTAGACTATTTACTTTTCCGACGGTGAACTCTTATTTAATAGGCCTTTAGGTATCAATGCTCGTCAATTAAACACAAACGCGGTTATCCTGCGACAAAACAATTAATCACTTCCCAAATCTGGCCTCTTACACTAAACTTTCATTTTCTGGACTTAAACAAAATTTAAAAAATTCGATGAAACGTTGCTGATAAGGGATGAATATATGTTATTCCTTTGTTCAGGGAATAACGGTCGGCCAAAGAAGCTTTGCTCACAGGCGCCGCCCAGCGCCCCACTTTCTCACGCGGCCGCTCTCTCTGCCTCTATTAAGTCCTCTCTCCCCCGCATCCCCGCACCCGCGCACTAGAAATCAAAGCTCTGCAGACACGAAAACACACACTCCAAAGCAAACACACACCTTCGGCACTGAAGAACTGAACTTTTCTGAAATTACGCTTCTGCTGTGTCGGCGATTAGCGAGCTTTTGTTTTGCGGTTCGTTCCTAATTAATCCGTTCACTAGTTTTAAATTCATGTGATACACTGTAGGTGTAGGAAGTGAGGTAGCGGAGCGAAAGCGAGACCAGATCCGCCGCGTCACAGGAACAGGATGCTTCTGGGGCGAGCGCAGGACTTTCTGGCACGGCTGTTAGCTGTAGCCGCTCTTACGACCCCTCTCCCCATCTCCCTGTCACCCACTCCTCTCGGCAAACTGTTACAGCGCTCTCTCGGTGTAAGAGTGAGTGTCGCCGTGCACCCCGCCCAGTTATGTAATGCGGCGAACAGGGGGTTGAGGGCCCAGGACATGCGAGAAACCAACCCGCACCCCTTGGGAAAACGCCATAAATGAGCAATAGGCGGTAGACCCACCCTTAGCCAAACAAGTTGTAATACTTCGCTTGCCGAAACGAAGCAAGACGAAACGAAACGTAGAACGGCATCTTCTCCAAGTGTACGAGCGCAATTTGCCACCGATAAGGGTTAAAAGCACGGCATTGCCACCCCCTAAGCCGGCTCCGCCATTTACATGGGCACCTTGGTAAGGAAGGGGTGCGGAGAGCGGAAACAGCAGAAACAGGGGCTTAGGCAGAGGGGGCGGCGAGAGAGGCTGAGCGAGAGAGACAGAGGCTGCTGCTCGGAACGAAACCAGCGAGTGTGTCGGTTCACTGAACTAAGTACGACAGAGAGGGAACGAAAAGCGACGAAAAGCGATCGCTACGGAAATGGCAGCAATTTAATTTGCATATAGGCACTACAGTAGGACCTCGATAGTCCACAGTATGTTTGGGCTTTAGTTAACGCATTCGACACTTCCTAGGTTGTGCCCAAAAATTAGCTGATTTTGACTGGTTAGACTATTGAAGCAAGTAGTTGAGACTGGGAAGTTTATTCTTGCTGCCGCTTTTACTTTTCAATATCCCCTATTCTCATTTATGTGTATGTACATATGTATATCCATTGTTAAAGGCAATAGGTGACCCAAGCAAAATGTATTGAATAGGCTTCTCACGCCATCACGGCTCGCACCTTTTTTTCTGGTGCTTACGGAAGAGTCAAAAGGTCACGCGCACGCACGTCGTCGTCATCCCGTACCACCCTTTTCCGCCTATCTATGACCCAGGATTACTCAAGCAATGGTCTCGCTTACTCAACTATCGCCATGGCAAGCCAATTAGAGTCGGGCACCGATAACCCGAACTGCAATCCGGAAAGAAACAGATACTTGTGTAATATAGGCATACATACATATGCACATGGACACACCACATAAATATCAAATATAGCTAAGCTCTTATGATTTAAATTACATTTATCTTAAACATTTTCTGCAGTTGGGGTTTGACTAGTTGCCTTGACGTGACACCGCACCCTTCGAGAAACTCTCTCTTTCGTCCTGCGATCTCGTCTGTTCGGCCCGTCGTCTTTCAATACTCACTTGTTTTAGTTTAGAGAGCGAGTGTGTGTGTTGTTGGTTTTGGGGAGCTGGTTGATTGTTGTTGTTGTTTGGCTGGGCAAACAAAGCGAACTAATTGCTAAGTTCTCTCTGCAATCTGAAATCCTGCGCGCGCGCTCTCACGGCGCTCCTCCTTGCTCTCTGCTCGCTTTTCTCCCACACACTCTTCGGTAGTCCAGGACTTTGGTGTTTGTTATAATGTAATCGGTTTTAATAAATAAACGCTGGCGTCGCCGTCGCTGACGTCTGATGTGGACAAAAACAAAAATAAAACAAAACAAAAGGCGGTAAATTCGATGTTTGGTGGTTGTGGTTGTAGTTGTAGTTGTAGTTTTAGTTGTTTGGTATAGTAGGCGGTGTTGTTCGTGTTTGCGGGCCTGTGTGTGTGCGTGCGATTGTTATCGCCAATCGATATTATCGATTTTTCCCCAACCAAAGCATTCAATTCATATTTCACTGGCGAAATAAGACATACAAAAAATATGTCTGCGTGCAGATACGCATACATATGGCTTAGCGAGAATACTTTTATATATATTACAATACTTTTTGAGACAATTCTATTGTGGAGAGGCTATTTGGGCCTTTAGCAACCGCTCTTTACCTGCACTGATTTAGATATGTTTGTTGTTGTTAGGTGGTGGGCGGGAGGGGTTTAGACTTTGTATGGCTGATATTGTTTTTACAGGCACATATGTACACATAATAAATACATAAATGCGTGTGTATATAGGTATCTACCTATTTCGAGCTCTCTCCCACACAAACATAAATACAGACGCACACTGGGGAAAAAAACTCATCGCTGCTGTCGTTTTTGGACGGAAAACTCCTTTGCTGTGAATCAAATCCTAAACGCTGAATATTGCTATTACTACATGGCTCTGATTCATGCGTGCCTGCAATCGTTTTTATGGCAACCGGCGTTTTGTTGACTGCAACTACTCCGCCACCCACACACTCCCACCCTCTCCGCTGCGCTCGAAAAATGTCTACTTCTAACGGTTAGTTGGTCGTGTTCCTCCGTTTGTTGTTGTTGATGCGTACAATGCTCCTTGCACATAAAATCATAAAATCGATATGCTAGCTGCGCTCTCTTGGGAACTGGCTCTCGCTCTAGCACTCAGCGCTCTTCTCTCCCGCACACGCAAGCACACACACACATACACACACAGATTTAAATTTGAGCAGCAATTATTTAGAGATACACAGCTCACAGAGGCGTAGATCTGAGCACATCTACTATCTCCGCACTGGCCGCCCCCTCTCACTATGGCTAACCGCCGCCCATCTCTCCTCCACTCTCTTTGGGAGGTTCGCTTTTTCCTCCATCGAATTGCATATTGTTGTTTTGCCTATTAATATTCGTTTGAATGTATACAACTTACACACATCACACACCCACTAGCAAAAAAATAGATATAGGTACATATGGATATATGCAGACACGCGGATTATAAGTGAGTAAATTGCACAACTATGCAGCGCGACGCGATCATTAGAAAAAAAAATACTCAGTTTCATAGTTGTTGTTGATTGATATTGTTATCATTGTCTTTCATTCAGTTGCACAAATCGTGGATATCCAAATCCTGGGGATATTCTTACATTTCGCTCGGTGTGAGATGAGATTCGGCCAATGGCTGTTGTCAGCTTCCAGTTGTAGTTACTTCGGATGGAGTCAACTCAACGGTTATTGTCATGCACTACTTAAAAAAAATCAATTGCGGAAAGAGCACACAAGCGCGATATTTGGTATTCGATTAGGATTCAGGATTTTCCTTGCTTTTATTTTCTTTCCCTGTGGCAGGAGCGTTCAAACCGCGGCGCACGATGGTTGGCGTGGAAATGAAATAATGAAATGCGAAATTGAGGCATTGACGGTTTCGGTTTCCATTTCCACATAGACCAACCTCTCACATCTCGTATCGGGGTTGCAATGGTGGTCGGAGCGAGAGCGAGAGCGAGAGTGGAAGGTAGAGAGCGAAAGAGAGCGGCGCCATGGGCGTATCTGTGCGCCGAGATGGAGGGGCCAATGCGACTGGTACTCCTGAAAGCTGGGTTTTGATATGTAGCCATCGGCCCTGAGATCCAAGTCTTAGCTTAAATTGTAGTTGGAAAAGTATTGCCCAATGCGAAACAACGAGTTGGGAGTCGTGCCAAGTGTAGTGCATAGGGCTTGGAGGAAAAGTGGTGTCTTGCTAAGGAACCCCCTTCGATACACCCCTGCGCATCGGCCGCTCTCTCAGTGGTTTATGCTGTATTAAAAGTTTTTCATGCTTTTCGATACAAATCCAACCGATCAGCAATGCTTTCGTTTTGTAACGCGATGCGAAATGCTTTTTGCACAAAAACAGATCCCAAATAAAGCCAAAGCCGTGGCTCAAAGATGCTCAGTGCAGTGGGTGCATTTGAGTGGTAGAGCAATCGCAATCTAAGCTACACTGGGAACCAAAATGGAGGTTCCCCTTCTCGAAGCAGGGAGATACATAGATTGAGAGAGAGCAAAGTTCTCTTGTCCAGTTTGGCAACTCGAATCCGCTGGAGCAGCGCTGACTTGGTAAACCTAACAGATGAACTACAAACTCAACTAGTACAAATAGCGGCCACCTATCCTGCGAGGCCCAGATAGCAGGAGGAATCGGAAATCATTGCAAAAAGTTGGCTCTTTCCGACGAGGTCGTCAACCGTTTTATGATGCATGCGACCATTATCCTTACAAATCAGTCGCGTTGTAAGGGCTGTTTTGGGCTTATGGTTCCGTTTCCGTTATTATTCTTTTGCACTATCAACCACCAACGCCAAAGGCTAGGGTGGTTTCTCCAGGCCGTATTGCTCGTACACCCCCTACGAAATGAAAGCCAGAAGCAAGGACCAAGGACCAAGGACCTAGGACCCATATCCAAGAGCCGGTTTAGTTTCGAAGTAATGCAATTCTGCCTTTTTCCATGTTTCCCTTCGTTTTGTTTCGTTTCGCTTAGTTCGTGTGCTTCATTGCTCCTGTATTCGTTATTCGCCACTAGACACGCCACATAGTATGTACATACATATGTATATGTATGTACATGTGTGTATGTACATGCATGTAGCCACCCTCGGACTCCCCCAATCCTTGTAAACTTCCTGTTCCATGTGCTGATTTTTCTTTGCCAGTTCCAGTCGGACGCTCTGTTCCAGTTTACAGAACGAAGTGAGGTACAGTGAACATGTGTGGGGTGCAACTTTTCGCGAGAAGAATTTGCTATGGTTTAAAGTTGGGCATTTTCCTAATGTTCTTCAAAGGTTTTTATTGTTATTACACCACACGACGTATACGTAGAATTTAGAAGTGTATACGTTTTTATCGGATTTCAATGTCTGCTTTATCTACGCTGCACTGCACTGCGAGAATTGTAACGCAACTTTGGGCCGGGGGTGGTTTTTGATGTCCTTCCAAAGGGTGGTGTGGTGCCAGTGGCAACGGAAATGGGGTGGAGTGGCGCTATTGCTGCCCTCGAAAGATATGCGAATTCAGATTCAGACAGATCGGCGTCGCAGAGTGTTTGGTTAGCATACAAATACACAAATACATATGCAAATGTAAGTTTGAGTGGGGGTAAAAATAACGAATTGGCGAATTTCATTTGGAGGAATAGTTTGTTCCTAATGATTTACAAATAACTCTTTATTGGCAGCCACTTCGCCCTTAAACAGTGATGAGAAAGCTACAGGATCCATAATGGGATTCCCAGTTGGCGGCCACGTGCTGTCCCCGTTTTCTCTTTCTGGCCACCCCAAATATAGGCAATACGCTTTTTTTATTCATTTTAGAAAAATGGAAGTACAATGAGACTCGAAATCGAAAGGGTTGGGTCACCTAATCCGTTTTAGCCACGCCAGAAACAAAACAAAAACAACAAATGGCCTGCGTTACAACAAAGCGGGATTAAAAAGCAGGCACAACACGAGGTTACAACAAAGCTGGAAAATGCCTGGGGGAGGGGAGGGTCTGGTCTTTTTCCCGGCTCAAAAGAGAGAGCCCACCCTTAGCGTTTCCAAATCGTGGCGGAAAACGAACCAACCCAAATAATATGCTGCACCGAAAGCTAGGAGCCCCAGGAGGCAGGAACATGGACTCGAAATTCTCGTTTGTATGTTCTCCTCTGAAGTAACTTTCTCTTGCAAGCATTTAGATGAAGACGCCCAAGGCGGTTTTAACGTTCCACGTACTAATGTCATGATCCCATCTCGAATCCAGATTGGGCAGACGGAATCCAAGTGAATCCGATCTGCAGCCGGCGGCAGATGCAGCTTCCCCCGAAACTAATTGTAATAATCATAAAAATTACCATAAGACATCGGGTTCGTAGTCCAGGAGCAAAGAAGGATCGATGCAGGCATTGGAAGCGTCAAAGGCGAGGGATGCAGACACATAATATAGAAACATATGAACGGGGGATCGCAGGACATTCGACACTGAATCGTGGCATGTGTTTCGCCCCTCCCTCCCTGCCGCTTGGCATTGGCGGCATTGTTTTCCTTTGTCTGCCATGTTTTTGTTGCCGTTTTTCCGTGTTCCGTGTTTCGTGCTCAGACAATTTCACCTTTTAGCAGTGCAGAAAGCCTGCTCTCCTTCCAAATGCTATTCGAGAGCAGTCCTTAGGGTTGCGATCGTGCCACATACCCAGCACCTGGCCTACTAATCAGGGGCACGCATGTCGAGTGGTCGTGGATCGCGAGTCACCTAGAAGTTTTAAAACATTGGCCTAATCCCGTAAAATTCCCTTCATCGGTGAACTTGAAATGATAAAAAGATAGTCCAAATTGGTCTTCAGTTTGACTAATCAATTCAAATAAATTCGACGGAAATCTTCCAAGACATGTATGATTAGGAAACTGATCAGTACTGATAGTCTTAGTAAGATCTAGTAGTAAAAGTGATCCTGACAATGATATTAAGGATCGAGCGCTTTCCTCAAGGCTCTATGAGCACTCCAGCGTACTCGTACTCGTCCTTTGAGGGCTTCTCCTTTTTCTTCTCTCTGTACTTTTGGTTCAGTGATCCCTCGACTGGATCCCACGACTATTTGCTTACGTGTCAGCTGCCGGCGGCCCACCCGTTCCTCCAAGTATCCCTGTTCTGTATAGGAAAAGTCTCAACGGACTGCCATCACGCATTCTTGTAGCTGCTAAGGATATTTTACGTGCTTTCTTCTGCTTGCCATTTCAGCTTGCCCAAGGATCAGTTGGTTTACATCGGACTCCGGGACATTGACCCCTACGAGGCGTTCATCCTAAACAAAGTCGGAATACGCTACTATGCGATGGATGTGAGTGCACTGAGCAAAAAGCCGTTGACCTTCATTACAATTTCATTTGAACACATTACTTTAGCACAAGCGGTGCTGCACGGAAAATTTGTTCGTCCCTTTCTCCGCACATTAGTACACTACTAAATTTGGTCTAAATGGAATTTATTGTTTGCTGTGTAGAAACTAGAGAAAGGCATCTGCACCTAGGTAGAAAGCATGTGTCCTCCCGTCCGTTTCCCAAATTGCATTTCATTTCGTTGCATTCCAGTTTGGTTTCTCGCTCCTACCAACCCGATCCGATCCGAACCGATCCCTTGCAGTCGCAGTCTCGCCGCCAGTTGTAAACATTTTGAAATTCCGGTTTCTTCCCCTATTCCTGTTTGAAAGCAAGACTGGCGAGCGAATTACACAGAGATCACTCGTCCTGCGGCCACCGATGTAAGCTCGGCACTTATAGGGGTTGTCGCAGACCCTACCATTACCCCCTGTAATGGGACTTCCGATCCGATGCGAAACGGATCTCGAAACCGAACTCGAAAATGGGAAACGGTGGTGGTGACTCACACAAATTACGTGCCTGGCCACATCCGCATCCGCGTTCGCATCCTTGTCAGGACGGCTCGTTTCCCATTATTTATGGCTCGTGCAAAATCGACATTTGTTGAAAAATGGTTTAATGCCATCGCTCCCGATTTGGCTTTGCCCAAGCTGCAAATTTATTGTCGATCATTAATTCAATCGAAATTGGAATATTTCACAATAGATATGCGAAAATGAGACAGAGAAGTGGGTCGTGCCATCGCTGATGTTGTACAGTCGCGATCGGAAAGGATACGAGCGGAATCAAGCCAAGGTTTTGCTTTAAGAGCAGTGAGGGACATTCCCTAAGAATAATTTTATACTTGCCATACAAAATTCATTTCCCTCTCCAACTCCCTTTAATGGTCCCGCCCTTCAACAGACCATCGACCGGGTGGGCGTGCCCAAGATTATCGAGATGACGCTAGACGCCCTCCATCCGCAGAACAAGATCCACGTCAGCTTCGACATCGACGCCTTGGACAGCAATGTGGCCCCTAGCACGGGCACCGCGGTGCGCGGTGGCCTGACACTCCGCGAGGGAATCAGCATCGTGGAGGCACTTCGGGACACCAAGCGGGTGCAGGGCGTCGATCTGGTGGAGATCAACCCGAAGTTAGGCAGCGAGCGCGACGTGCGCACCACTGTGGAGTCCGGCCTGGAGATACTGAAGAGCATGTTCGGCTACCGACGCTCGGGGCGCTGGAGCAACATCGACACCGGAATTCTTGGCAGCGATTAAGGAACGCAACTCGCCCGGTTTTCAACTTATTAATATTTATGTACAACATTCTTGCCATATTAGTGTGTGCTTTTTTTTCGTATCTTAATGAGGCAATACAACATTTGTGTAAAAAATTTCGTTAGTGGATTGCAGACTGAGATTCGCTGTTGCATAGAACAGCTAAAGACCGGCTAGAGACCGGCTTTGAGCTTTGGCGGCGTCGTGGGCAAATACGCCGAGATGTCCACGCTGGCCATCAGGTTGGCTGTGTGCAGAAGCTCGTTGACGGGCGGAGCTGTCCCGGCCTTCGCGGAGAGTGGCGATGGAGCAGCGGCATCCGAAGCAGCAGCCTTGGCACTGTTCAATCGGTTGTACAAAACCGGAGCGAAGGTGCGAAGCAGACGGCGTTGAATGCCCAGAAGCAAGGCATTAATCGCCCCCGAGATGACAATGATTCCAGATATAATTGAGCACAGGCGGATGGCAAAGGTTAGCAGGTGATCGCGATCGTTGTCCACCACAATTTTAAGAGCCGACCAGTCGTACTTGAAGTAAATGCCAGGGGAGCCGTACGAATTGCGCTCGGAATCTATGGATCAAAATAATTAATTCTTGTCAATTAATTTCAGTTCCTTTCACATAGTGCCCATTCTCACCTAGTTTTCGCACGTTTTCGGTGACGGCATATTGAAAAGCGTTGATGGTGGTGAATGTCTGGTGGATCTCTGTGGGCACAACCTTCAGGAAGTATTGTATTGTGGTTGCCTCCTCGTGGATGACAATCTCGTCGCCCTCCAATGGCTGGACAATTCTCCCCGAGTACTGTCCAAAGCTGAGCCGGTTAATGCGATGCGTGAAGTTCGCCGGCATGCGTCGCAGTTCGATCATCCAGTGGTCCTCAAAGAGTCCCACAACGGGCTGAGCTCCGCCCACGAGGTGGAGCACTCCGGCCACTTTGTTGATGCCCAGCGTTCCGTGCAGACGACATGCATCGTATTTGCTCTCCGGCTGGACGTTGTGTTGGCCCATCAGGTCCACAGCCAAGGCCAAGGCTCCTGGCGGCGGGGCAGCAGGCACCTGTGAGGCACCCTCCCGCACCGGATGGGGATCCCGCATTATGTCCTTGAACAGCACGTCGGCCACCGAGTGGAACTGCTCGCGCAGGTAGTGGTTCTGCATCTGGATGGCCTCGAACTGCAGCCGGTCGTGTTTGGACATCTCCCACCAGACGCCCTCTCGCTGCAGAGTCCCATAGGCGAACACGTCCTGCTGCGTCTCGTCCATGAGATCCACGCCGGACAGTGAGGCGCAGGGCATGGCCACCGTGATGTCGACGTGCATCTGCACCTGCTCGTCCAGGGCGATGTCCGGCTCGAACTGGTACACAATGGCCGTCTCGTGCCAGTAGTAATACAGCTCCGTGTACACCAGGTAGACGATCAACAGGCGGCTCAACAGGGATACTGTGGAGTGGATGGAGTGAGATTACCGTGGCCATACCATGTGTTTTGCAATGCTTACGGGTGCCTCCGATTTCCGTGGTCTCCGTGTACTTCTCTGGCACCTTTTTGAACGCGTCCAAGTTCTTGGCGAACTCCAGGAGATTGCTTTTGTCGCCGCGGTAACGCAACGTGGCCGTCATCTTGGTGGAGCGAGCAGTTGGTTTCGGAATGCTTTGGAAGGGGGCTAGTCCCGGCTCAAGGCGTAGTGCTACACGCTCGATGGCTCAATGTTCCTCCAAGCTCGATGTCAGTTGCATTGCCACGTACGTTGCAGCTGACCGCCACTGGCACTGCCACGCCCGCGGTTTTAGCCCGCTGTACAATTAGGCACAGGCGGAATGTGCGCTGGTGCAGGTGTGTGGCTCCGGACCTGTACCGAGCTCCGATCCTTGCTGTACGCTTTCCTGGGGCCTAGCAAGTAGGCGGCGGCGTAAATAAACAAATGTAGGATACCTGATTTACAGCCGGTGTGCCGGAACAGCTGTGCGGCAGCAGAGTTGCCAGACGCTGTGGCGGAAATAGTTACCCTGTAAGATGAAGTGGAACGGTGGTTTCAGGCCTGGCTAAATGTCTAGCAATAATCACCCGGTGAAGTGGATAGGAAATTGGGCGGTTGGTGGTGTGAAACTTGGATCAATGAAATCGTACAAATGAGTGGCGGCGCCACCTAGTGCGGAACCAGCGAACTGCACTTTTAGTTTCGCCTTGAGAATTACTAAATAACTTATGAATCAATCCGGGAAAAGAAGTCCAAAAGTCAGCACTGCCTTGCGAAGATGCTCTCACCTATGCGACATTCGCTTAGAGCTACCACCCAGCGGTGGGTTTGCATACTATATTCGCTCCGCCAGAAGTGAGCGCGAAACTCTCGGTTCGCTGGCGGAACCAGTTCTCCCAAGCTTTGTGTTCAGTCCGCGGCACCTGCTGCTGCCCTTTTCGACTGGCACATTCCACAGGCCACGAACGACGCAGCCCGGACAGCCGAGCATTGTCACCCCCGCGGAAGGCGACAAGCGAAAAGCGGAAGGCCAGTTGCTTGATTCGATTCGTCCTTAATATCGATCCCGGGCATGCGCTCTGCGCCCGAGTTCGACTTTCGCACACTCGCACTTTCGGATTTTCGGACTGGGACTCGCAGGATTGGAGGCAACGAGAGCACTCGCAGTCGTTTGTGAGCGTTCGCAGCGCCAGGTACAGCGTACAGCCAGAGCTCCAGAGCTCAGCGCTCCAGGGGCTTCTTCGGGCCACCCCGTCTGACCGCTCCCCGCCAGCTGGGGAAGGCCAGGGGCTGCTGGCCAGTGGCTCTTGGCGTTCTCCCGCTCGGGCGGGAGAGAGGTGGTGGCCGGGGAGCCACGGAGCAGAAAAACCAGAGACACACACTGAGAGACCTAAAGTCAAATCACTTAACCAAAACAAGCTCAATACTTTTTTTTTGCTGTTCAAGTGCGAGTGCTAAAATAGAAACCCAACAACAAAAACCATAGAGAAACATCCAAAACAAAGTGATTCAAGTTCGAAAAGAAAAAGCGAAGCCGATGCCAATAGTGGATTTGTGATGCCAACTTAGCTGGGGGACCATAGTCAGCGCACCTGCGCAGAATCAGTGAGAAGGGGCCGTGAAAGTGCGCAGAAGCCCGACGAAGACGTGCCAAGAGTGTGGGAAGGGTTAGTGGGTGGGTGGATTAGCGTGGGAACTGCCAAGAGCAGAAGACATGGACAAGTGACATGAGACATGGGACTTGGGACGGGGGACGGGAAGCCGACGACTGCAGCTGACAAGTTTTCCAGGCGCAGAACGGCGGCCATAGTGCCACTCATATTTTCCGTTTCGGGAACCCGAGAACCGAACCAGCGAGTGGGTACGACAGGACAGATAGCAGCGAGTGCTCTCGTTGCTTTCCCTCCGTTTTCCTTTCATTCCCTGCAATTCCCTGCTGTTCCCTTCTCCCCCGCCCATCCCGGACTCTCTTCTACTACGTTCCACAATCGAATACTACGGCCACTCACATACTAGCACACATACACGCACTGAGTTTTCCGAGTTGACATTTTCCGTGCATAGGTTTCGGGGCATCGGCGAAAGGAAAAGCGCTGCGCTGAGGGCAGCTAACTTGGGCACCGCAAATCGAACGAAATCGGAGTACGAACCTCAGAGCGCAGAAATCAGAAATCAGAAAACAAAAAACAGAAATCAGAAATCCGAAATCAGAACCCCGAACCCAGAAAGCTAAAGGCTGAAACAAAAGGCCACAATTCCGAATCGCATGCTAATGAAATTTTCTTGTGTTTTCGATTTCTTGCTGCTGCTACCGTCGTCCGCCTGTGCAGCAAAGTGTTAAACGAAAAGCGAACCAAGCAAATACAATTAACCAGAACTGGAAGCACGTCAGTCCAGCCGCAGAAGCAGCTAAGTTCACACCAAACTCGGAGATTCCCAGCCAGGAGACAGGACAAGGAGCCAACCAGCCAAGAAGCAAAGGAGCTGAAAGGAGTGCGAACAATGTGCGCCGCGCTGCGTCGTAATTTGTTGCTGAGGAGCCTCTGGGTCGTCCTGGCCATTGGCACCGCTCAGGTTCAGGTGAGTCACCGAATCCCCACCACACCACACCACACCACTACTCCAACCCACACGACATGACAACACACCACACTACAGCACACCACAACACACCACAGCACACCACAGCAGACCATTCCATTCCACTCCACTCCACATTCGATACAATACTCGATGGGACGAAGGAGTAAGCCGAAAGAGCCGAAACCCAGAACAGAAACACAAACCGAAACCGAAACCGATGCCGAAACCGATGCCGATGCCGAGACCGAGACCGAGACCGAAACTGAAACTGACAGAGAACACTGGGCCAAAATGGCACCCTAAAACATTGTTTCGTTAGGGCTTTAAGCCCGAATTCGGGCCAAATTGACAAATTGATTTAAAAGGAGAACCCGACGCAATCCATTGATCGACGCCAGCCGCCCCGCACTCAAGCTGAGGAAGTGGAAACACTATCGATGCAGTGGCCGGGGAAGGCGAGTGGTGCCTCCGGTGGGTCTTTAGCAACTAGGGACTTGTTGTTTGTTGCATTGCTGTATTGTATTGCTCCACTGCTCCAACTTGTACCCCAACTTTTATCGCGAGTACAGCTGACCAAATCGCAGTGTTCGTGCTGCGTGCAACAGCAATGCCAATGCAACCACAGCCAACGCACACACACGCAGCACACTCTCGCACACACTCGCACACGCACAGAGAGCCAGATACACAAGCACTTGAGCGGGTTTCTGTTTGCTGTGTTGGCCGTGGGCCGAGCAGCCGCGCAAAGTATGCTACGAAAAATGTGCCACCGCTTAGCAGTGACGCTGCAGACTCGCGGGCTTGAAGGCGGGAAAGAGTTTAGGGCTGGGGATGGGGGCGTAAGTATTGGCTTAATTGAACCGTTTTCTCGTCGCTGGCTTCTGCCCAAGCGGGCGCCGAAAAACGAAATCCGTATGGCAGAGGGTGGAGGGTAGGGGGCAGGGGTAGCGGTAGCGGTTAGCGTTCAGCAGCAGCGGGCTTCGGCTGGCAATTTGCAGGGAAAGTAGCGGAGGTGTTGCCGGAATCAAACAGGGCGTGCAGGCATTTTGATTTCGACTCGCCAACCCCAAGCGACTGGCAATTATCGTGGAACTGGAGTGCGAGGCTGGGTTATGCGTCCTTCGGCTGGAGCTTCAAACAATGCGGCCAAAAGCAATCGGGCTCTGTCTCAGCATAATCCCAAAATTGGTCTGAGGCTGGACCTGCATTCACCACGAATCCTCTTGTTCAGGTCCATTCACTCACTGGCATACATGCGCATACACACACACACCGAACGACCATAAAGCTACAGGGAGACTTGCGTTGCCAGGATATTGTTGGCTTAAGCTAAAGTGTTTTTAAATCATTTGCGAACAGTGTCTGCCTGGCGGCAGCTCTGGTTCTTTGGGGCCGACCCACAATCGCCGACGTGCCTGACCTTAACAATTTTGCCTTACCTTCTAGTCTCTTAAATAACTCGCAGCAATCTCCCTTGGCAACGCAGACCGAACAGTGTTCTGCGGCGAAACAAAAACCTTATAAAATCCTAAAATCCATATTCATGTGGAGACGAAGCAGTTGAAAGAGAAGATCCGAGGTGCAGCAGCTTCATGGACCCAGGAGCTAGGACTTCGGCCCAATCCCGGCCAGGGAAGCAGTTAAGCTGCTTTATAGCGCACTGCACTCCTTTCATGGCTGGCTTTGTATGCAGCCTGCAATTTGCTTTGCTCTTCATTGGTTCATTCACTCTCCACCCATCGTCCCCTAGTTCGGCTATTCATGTTAGACCGCTGCTGCCTGCAATTCATGGCAGAACCATTCTGGGACCTGGTCAGCCACCCATGGCCACCCACAGGCCACCCTACACCGCCACTCCAGTCAGGCGTCGTTGTTATCAGGGGCACGCATCGCCGTCGTCAGTTTTGTGGTGGTCGTTGATTACTTATGTCGCTGCACACCCACCATTCCCACCCTGGCTGGGACAACTAACCCATGCCAACCTGGTTCACCAGGACTTTAATATTGGAACATTTTTCTTTGGGAAACAACAAACTGCTAGCAGTTGGTCGAAAAAAAAGACATTTTAAGTCGGCAGAGATCTGTGTTTTTCAAGCGGGATTTCCCCAGTAGTGGTTTCCTCCAGACAGTAATGCATTACCAACTGGGGGTACTCGTGTTGATAGGAATTTCTGTTTGTGTACCCTTCCTTCCTCAGTTCCTCACCCGTTCTCCTCTCTGCTTTTGTTTTTTCCGTGCTTTTACACTCTTTTTTTATATAAGGACATGTCTGAATCATCCAGAAAACAAAGCAGCAGGGAGGGATTTGCAGGACTGCAGGACTGCAGGATGGCACGATGGCACGATGGCTCGCACTGTGCAATATGGCAGGGAATCCCCCCAAACACTCGATGCCAAATGCCAACGACGTGTCTCCCTCAAACCAGCCGCCCCTGGCAAACGGAACACGCAATCGCTGCTGCCAAACAGCCCATACAAAGTCCCTTTCTGCGGAGGACTGGGGCTTCCAGAGGGGTGACAGGAGGCTGAAGGAGGGTGGCTGGCAGTCGTTGGCCATTTGATTGTCGGGTAGGAACTGCGAACCGTCGGCCAACTTTAGCTGCACACCCTCCTCCTTCGGCACAACTCCCCCAATTTCGCTGGAGTCAACTGAATTAGTCAGTTCGCTGCTCGGTGACTGATAGAAGCCAGCGGCGCAGTTCAGTTCACCTCCCCATGAGTCACCCACTGGGAGTGGGATGATTCATCCGGGAATGCTATGCAGTCGTCGCAGCGGAATTTCCCAGAGCCGCAAAACTTTTCACAAATTCCGGCATTCGATTCGAAAATGCATCCCTATACTCGTGCTCTTTTTAAATGCGGCATGCACCACCAAATGCGAGTGTGAAGCATCAAGTATTTGAACAAATAAATGGCTCGCCAACTAGACGAGCAGGAGGCACCTTATCCATAAGCAGGCCAAAGTTGTAGTGCCTGCACCAGTGTCCCATTGAAAGCGTTCTTTCCCCAAATACCGCTCTCATTCCCTGGAAGTGCAGCAAAAGTATCTGCCTTCGGGGCTCGTCGCATTGGGTTCAGCTGCAGAGACCGCAGTTCGTGATTGGGTTAAGTTTGGGATTCAATTGGGTTTGTAGCTGGTCAGCCGTAGTAAGTCATTTGAGCAGCCGCATCCCTCAGCCACTGGCTCGTCGGATCCGCACTTGCTCTGTGCCGACCCTCTGTCGACCCGATTCCATTGTCAATTGTCAGTCTAAGAGTTGTCCACGTCCTGCTCATCGTTCATTAGTTGTGGTATCGATGTCACACACATATGGACATGCTTTGCTGGAGAGGATGGGGCTGGGTTGGGGTGGGTTGATACGTAGATGGGTGGTTGTAGCTGTGCAGTGACCCCAACATCCCTGACACTCCCCGCCAGAGTCCTCCTCCTCTTTGTCGTCCTTCGCCACTCGCTTGGTTTTGTTTCGTTCCGTTCCGTTCCGTTTGGTTGCCTTGGCGTGGCTTTTATTTTGGCTCGGATCGAAGGTTTAGGTTTACGTAGTCGTGTTTGTGCTCTTGTTCGTTCTGTGCTGGCCGCAAGGGTCCTCCCCCTCGAATGGGCACTCGCCCATTCCTGAATCCTGTTACAAAGCATTTACGCTTCAATGGTTTTTTTCGATTATGCATTTTGCTCATTTTCATTTCGCCATTGACAAAGGCACTGGCCAAGCAGCTTGGCAGCTTGGCAGCTTGGCAGCTAAGCAACTAGGCAGCCAGGACTTTGGCTAATGTGTTCATTGTCTGTGGCTTAGTTGGAGTGCCAGAGTTGCAGGAATTAGGGTTAAGTGCTCCTGCCCAGCAGTGCTGTTCTGTGTCTGCTCGTGGGGCTCTTGAAATCGCAGTTCACCTTCGAGTGGCAGAAACAGAAATGGGCTGTGATGCCAGGCCAACGTGGGTCAACAACCATAATCCAACAAGGTGACTACTTTCCAGCCCTGCTGATAAGGCTGATAACGATGACCCTTCGCCGATAAAGATGATGATGAGGATGACGACGACGATGACTCACAATAGAGCAAATGATCCAGAACAAATGACAGCGTAAGAGAAACGAAATGAAAGAAAACCAAATGAATAGAAATGGGGGTCAGGCATAAAAGAATCGCTACCAAAAACAAGCAAAAAACATAAAAAAATGTGTATTCAGGTGTGTAGAATATATTTCGAGTGGAAACTCAACATAGGTTAATCCGTTTCCTATGCCGCCACAGCTTTCTGCTTTACCCCCACTGAAAACTCCACTGAAAACCAGCCAAAAATAGTTCATTTCTATATATGGGTCTTAGCTCTAAAACACATTGCAGACCCAGGCGTTAAGTCCTCCTTGGCCTTCTTATTTACACTGCAAACAAGCCCGAAACTATAGTTTTCCCTCTCATAAGCTGATGTTCCAGCGAAAGAGAAGCGCGGCCAGGGAAAATCGGAGGAGGTGCTTTGCCCCTTCTCCGCCACTTGCGGAGCACGTCTTTGGCACAGCCGTGCGGTAATGTTTTATACATTTGTATTGCAAACATTTACGAGGGGGAAAACTTCGAGAGAAAAGTAGGCGGCGGGGCGGAGGGGACAGTGGCAGGTGCTTGAATTTGTGATTTCGTTGACGGAGCCCGAACGTCCTTTCTTTTCGTTCCTTGGCTGGCTGCCTGTTCCACTGCTATTGTAGTGGTTCCAGCTGCAGGCGGAGAATGGGAGGAAGGGACTCCGGAGCGGTGGGTTAGTGGGTGGATGGAAGGTGTCGCCCGCCACCTGCTCAATAGTTCGTTGCTGATTTCATTTGAATAGCACAAATGGCACTTTCCAAATCGAACAGCTAGCTGCCGAACCCCTACCCCACTTACTCCACTTACCCCACTTACCCAAGCTTACAGTTCTCGAGCGGAATTGGGTTAGGTCTGCGCTCCCGATTTGCCGCCATACGAGGGGAACAGGGCCTGACTCGGGTTGACTTGACTTGTTCGACT